CCTCTTGCAGCCCGGATGATGCCGAACTTTGAACCTTTTTTCCTCCCTCGAGCTAGCCAGGCGGTAAGATGACTGCTTGGCAAGATTCGGAACCAACCGACCAACAAGTGAGTTGCCTCTCAGCTGTCTGCAGTCCGGTGGCAGACGCGAAAGCTCGAGTCCAGCATGATGTCGGCATCAACCAGAACTGATAACAAGTTTTTGCGTGCCTTAGGCACAAGAAGTTGTGCCGATTGCTCGTTATGAAACGTCTTCACCAAACAAGTTGTCTCTTCCCAGCCTGCGACTTGCCTGCCACCTCAACACTTTCGAAGCGAAGTGATGTGTTCTCCTCCAGGAGCTTCTGCACCTCAGCTGACTACAATTGCTCTAAATCCTGACGACGACGGCCCTAGCTTGACAAAGCAAAGCCACCACTATGAGGACAAACATCACCTGCGCGATGCATAAGGCTTCTGAGCACACTGATGCGAATATCCCGCATGTAGAGCTCTTTGTCCAATGCGCCTTCCAGACCGGACTATAGCGGGAGCTAGGATGGTCGGATTTGAGGACCGACTTAGACAAAGGGCTGTGGGCATAACGCTCCTCTACCACAAACACCCCTAACGAAAGACACCAATTCAAGGCGGACAAGGCCAACGACGCCAGAAAAAGCATCAGGCTCAGCAAGACCTATAGGTGGCCTTGCTGATGGTGCAAGCGCAGCTGATGGCCTCGCAGCTTGGAAGTGTGGAATACAGGTCGGCCAACAGGCATGTGGGTTTGAGGATCTGGTCGTGTCCCTCTCACTGCTTCCCAGGCCCAACAAATGCACAAGCCGTTATCTCCTTTAGACTTTACTTTATATGCTTTGCCATGCCATGCAAGCCATAGGGCCAATGCCAATGCTCTGAGCTTGCGACCACGTTCGCTGAGAAAGTCTTCTTAGCATCCAAGAACAGCATGCCAGAGAGCACCCGGAGAAGGGCGCGGACACCTCCAACAACAACCTCTGAGTCCTTAAGTGGTGCACTCTTGCAGCTTTGTGCAGCTCTGTCATATGGCCGATCTCGGGAAAGTGGTCATGCTAGCATCCAAGAACGAAAAAGAGTCCATAAGAAATCAGCACTGAGCATCCGAAGCCGGGCAAAGTGCCAGGAGCAGAAGCAAGAAATGCCCCAAAGCTGCTGCTAGGTCGCACGTCGCAGGCCTGCATCACCAGAACAAACGAGCATTCGAATGCGCTAACAGAAACAGGGGCAAAATAGCTTGCAAAGCGAGTGACCTCCCACCCGAGTTGTCACTAGACAAGCACGGAACTCTGCCAAGGCACGTGAGTGAGATAAACTCGGAGGAAACCAGTGAGCATCCTGTGTACATAGAAATCCTTGGCTGGTGACATGCCGTGCCAGGCCAAACGCGCCAAGGCTTTTGAGTTGCACAGCCAAGAAGCAAAAGCAACAGCTGAACCTCGCCCGTACCAGACATGTTGATCACCATCGTGGATAGGAGAATCGCGCATGCAAGAGTTGACCTTGGCCAAGTCTCACGATATGACATTTGGCTCCGCCACCGCGGAGAAAATGAGGGCGTCATTGGCACCAAGGCCAAGGCTATCTACTCAAGCTGATCAAAGCAAGGCCATCACACATCCTTTTTTGTGATGCATGAACTAGGGTTGGTGCCAGCGTATATCAGGAAAATTGCTGCTCCAGTGCAATCATTTTTGAATTCTATAAAACGCACAAAATACAGCCTAATCTGAGGAGCTCACTGGATGCAAATTCTGTTCACCATGTTGAAGAGGCGGATGCGGGCCTGGCGAACTAGCTCACATATGGGAGTCTGTGAGCTGCACAGTTCCGATCTGTGATTTCATAGGCCTGCAGTGCTTTGTTTCAATTGGGTCACAGCTGCTATGTGCGGTTCCCGAATGCCCGCTTCAAGATACATTTCCAAACATGGCCTTCTGAACATAGAGATGTGGCTTCGTGGAGGCATCTCCTGAATGACCGCGTGTCGAAACTTGCTGTCTTGATGTCTGGGTGCCGTCTGACATAAGGAGGAAAATGCAAACAAAGAGCTGGCGCGCATCACGAAGTTCAAGGCATCCAGGTAGTCTTGCCCATTCTTGCGGAGGGTCCACCAGAAGTGAGTGGAAAGAACAATGGTGGCAATTGTGCTTGTCAACGCAGCCAAGGAAAATGCCTGCAGGCATGTAGCATTCGCATGCCATGCCAAGCCATCACTCAAACGTGCTTCTTGCATTCCAGGCGCCATGCTCGCGCAGCTTGCCAGCAGCTACAGATGCACACAAGCAATTCTTGCGACAAGTGTGGGGTTGCTTTTACGATTGATTCCACAATACAACCGTGCCACCATGCGTGAAACAAGTTGAGATTCCTGAGCCAACTTTGCAGTAAACCCCCGAAAGTCACGGCTGAAGGATACAAGGGACATGCCAAGTGAGCGTAATTGGGCGGCCTCCAGACCTTTACCACCCGCCAGTGACCACGCACTCATACCCTCCCTGTCTGACCTCGAAAGTCGCATGAGCTCTCCAGCTATCCAGGCCTTCTACTAACGAACGGCATTTCCGTGCCACCCCCCCCTTTCCTGCTGATTGCTACGGCTATGCATTTGTTGCAAAACGTCGTGTGCAGGAAGCTTATAAGACGGACCGTGGCTGGTTGCTTCTCCACGCATGCAATGCTTGACTCATCGGCTGCTATTTGCAACGCGCGGAGGTCCAGCCATGCAAGCCAGACAGCGTCATTTACAAATCATGACCCCGACACCACCAGCATGGATTATGGACTACGTGCGTGGCCATGCAACTGGCGGAGACAGCGGCGAGCAAGCGGGGGCACACTACAAAGAAGGGCCTCCAAAGCGGCTGGTCCGCAAGGGCCTCAGAAGGCAGGCACAGGACAGTGGTGACATGTAAGTAAGCAGTTCTGCCTCAAAGTGCCGCGTTCAGTTTTGCTTTGCTAACACAGGGACCGGAATACAGGCTCTCATCTAAAATCCATGAGAGGCCAGAGGCTCTCTGAAAATGGCTGCCAGCGGCAGCACCAACCAAGACAAGAACCTCAGGCAGTCTTCTTTTAAAGAAGACCCAGAGTGCAGAGTCCCTGCAGCAGCCCAAGCTGAAAGGCCTGCAAATACTCGCAGTTCTCTTACAGGCTGAGCTGAATTTCCGAATGTGGTCCAAGGGATGGCTTCCACGAGGCAGCTTCTGATAGTTTGCTTGATACACTCGTGGTTGCAGCAGGAAACTCTCCCTTGCCACTCAGCCTGTGCAACCCACAGGAAACAGGAAGCTGGAAGCTGCTTACCCCATGGCAAGCAGCCATGCTGGCCACATAGAGCTGACTTGGCAAACCCTTTGAGGTTCATGGCCAAGTCTAAGACTTCAAATGGCCAAACATATTAACACTCTGTACACATGACCACAACCTACTACAACTGTTCACTCCTTTGTTCACTCCTTATCAATGCTGGCGGCCTGCTCGTCTGGCTTCCCGGAAAGCCATGCCTGCATTGCACTTGGCACGAAGTCGCCTGAGGGCAAGTGTTGCAAGTGATTGCGCAGGCACGTGATCTGATCTCAAGGTAGAAACTCAAATGTGTTGGGTCAGGTGCCCTGAATGTTGTCCTTCTCCTCTTCGCACACCAAGAAACACCTCAAAAGTCTGGAGGCAGCGGGACAGCCCTTTAAGACTCTCTGGCAGCTGATGCAACGACATCTAACAACGGCTGGCAGGTGTCTGTAGCATTGTGTCCACAGCAAGCTCGAAGACGTTCATGCACAGCCTGGCGACGACATATCCGCAAGCCACATAAATGACCTCAGCCAGAATAGTGAAGAGGGATCAAGCTTGGAGCATCTCCATCGGTTGAGGCATTCAAAGTCAACAAGGTGCCACTGGAATCACTGGAGATACGTTGGGGTGCATGGCGGTCAGCTGTAGATATCCCACCGCAACCTAGGCCGCGCAATTGTGTACAAGGAGTCCATGCATCAGTCACACAAGCAAAGATGTAGAACGTCTTGTCTTTCAGGTCCGGCCACTGTGGCTGCAATGATAAAGATGTACCTTGTCGAGATGTGATCAGTTAACAGATGCAGGTGCCACCCATCTCTTTGTGCAGACGAAGTGGCCCAATGAAATTGATCACCATTCCCAACAGGGCAACAGCTCCAAATCGTAGGGCATTGTTAAGGATCAGGAAGAAGGCCTCCAGGGCAGACGGAAGCATACGACAGCGTGAGCCGAGAGAAGCCTTTCCCTGGCACCTTCTTGGCGGAGGTGCAGAAGTTGGTTCCACGAATGGCTGTTTGGATGTAGGCATTTCTGAGCACACTCTGAGCACGCACGCGTCGTAATGTAGACTCGTGCTCTAGGAGCATTGCAGCTTGGACAAGGGAACAGCAGAACTGGACAACGGGTCCATCCAGTTTGGACCAGAGGCTTGTTGAGGAACTTGAGGAACTTTTCCAGGCACCACATGCAGCCTGCAGCGTGCAGCGACAGGGAGCTAGTTTCCGAAAGCCCTTGAAACGCAGATGCATGATACCGCATGTCTGCTCAAACAAGCAATTAAAGTAAAGGTCTGAGCACCATGATTCGCAAAAGCACTCGTGCACACAAGGCTGTAGCTCGTTGGGGTTCAATCTTATGGTTCAATCTGCAATCCACGGGCATGACTAAAAATTGAAAAGCAAGCAATGCAATATGCTTGCGCCAGGAGCCAAGGGAAGCTGTAACAGTTTGTATCAGTGACCCTCCCTAATGAGCCTGAACTTGTGAATTTTGGTAGCCAATGGCCAAACAAGCTAGCAAAAGCAAACTCATTGGCTAATGCAGTAGTTGATGCCGCTAGGCAGCAGCGAAGCAGCCGCAGAATCAGCACCACGACCTTGAACGTCCTACTACGCTGGCTCTTGGAGTCTCTGTTTCGTCAAACAGTGAACAATCCGCTTTCTTCAAGTTTTCTGTGACGTTTCCTTTGGCAGGGGGTGCAGACTGCGTTGGTGAGGGACAAAGCCTGTCACAACGTGACAGCTGCCTCGCTAGAAAGAAGCTCAGATGAGAGACAAACCAAATGCGGGCTATAAAGGAAGACCTACTTTTTCCTCGACTCACTTGATCGCAGACTTGTCATGTACAAGTTTTGTTTGCTTACCGCATCTCAGCCTGGAACAATCTTGTGTCCAACTCCCTGCAGAATCAGGCAGGACAATACAATTTAACAAATCTCGACCTATCTAAATGACAGACCGAAGGCTGAAGGATTGGCATGCCTAGCCAGAGCTGTGGACGCAACCAGGTGGCTCGATTCTTCTGGGCTTGTGCTTGCTTCTCAATATATAACCTGAGACTCAAGTGAAAAACTGCATCCGCGATCTCCGCACAGACCGACAGCAGTTCTAAATGGCTTTTCGCGTTCATCCCTGAGAATGGCAGGGAGCAAGAGATACCTGATAAATTGCACCACGGCAATCACGAACGAGCCAAAAGCCAACGTGCCGAGGTGGAAGCGGAACGCCAAGTAGAGAGATGACTTGACTGATCCTTCCAGGTTGGCAAAAATTTGCTCCATGCTGCTGAGCGACAACCGGGACATTGCTTGCCGCAGAATACTCTGAATAAAAAGCATCAATTGCAGTACATGCGTCAAGGCATATGCTCTGTTACGGCCCCAACATGACATGAACATGTTCCTCGTTTTCCTTTCAGACGATTTGGGGTGAAAAACCATGCTGCAACCTTGCAGGCCGGAGAGAGGGCAGTGACATGCTCCCAGCACTGCGAAGCGAGTACAACCGCCACTCCAAACCAGTCACTGCTCCAGCAATCACAAACTGTCCGAAGGCAATATTGAAAGCCTTGGAGACGATCATCCGAGGCACATGAACAAAAACTGCAGAAAATAGATATTCAAGCAGTCATGCTTTCTAAATTATTTGTGAACTCTTCCGTCAAATAGATGCGTGCGCAGTCGGTAAGCACAAAGCATACATGGGGATCTTCGGAATTGTGAGGTTAGTTCCAACTTTCTTTGCTCGCGCCACCGTCTTTCGTTCAGCGCGTTCAGCACACCTTGGACACCTTGCACCTGCCCTGCCAGCACGTCTGCGACTTTTCACTATGTCTGACAAGCGGCATTATTCCACAGAAAAACAAAGAAGGAGCAGGCGAAGCGCCAGTCTAAGCCAAACCGAGGTTGACCGCACCTCAAGGTTTGAGTGAAGGCGTCTGCTCAGACTGCTGTTTGTTAAGCTGCGCAGCTTCCAGCAGTGCGCTGTGCCATTCATGCTGACACAGTTGTCCTCATCCTGCGAGAAGAACATTGTGGGAAGTCCCCGCGAGCTGATCTAACCTTGCTCTGCATGTCTCCTTGTACACGAAGCCTGTAGGCCACTTGTCCGTGCATTTGCCGGGTGTCTCTGCCGTACCAAAAGCCTGTGGCAAGATGCGGCTGATATGCTGCAGGCGTCACATCCCTCAGGGCATTTCCAAGATCGAGCTTTAGCTCAGGCTGATACCCACCACCAATTAAATCGATAGGCATCTGCAGGCCCTGCATCAAGTCAAGTCCCCTCTCAACATCTCTAATCCGAGCACTAGAACAATAAAAGGGACCTGTTTAAGTATTTTGTTTATACAATTAGGCTCCCAAGACTAGCTAGAATTATGTGGCTTTTTGTTTGGGTAAGAGGGACCAGATTTACAGAAATTTTCGGGGAATCTATCCTGATAATAGAGATATCCATGATTTCCTATTCATTTTAGCTTAGAGGTCCAAGAGCCCCAATGATGCAGGAATGCACTCCTATTCTTTTTGAATTGAGTTCCAAGAGTCCCAATCATTCTTTTAATCTGGCGCCTCTCATTCCTTATTCTGGAGGGGGGGGGCCCACAAATTAATCAAGTGCTCAGATTGGCAGGGAAACCTTTTGGGGCTGTTCCAACTGACTGCATGTCAGCCCTCGAGTGAGTGCGATGTCGCGCAAGTTAGCTTGCATGGTTGTGTGCGGCCCCATTGCAGCACCCAGGCACGCTGCCAGGAAGGGGTGTGCGTATGTGCGACCGGCATGGACAAAAGACCCTCACAGTCGCCACGCTAAATACCGCACAATCCTGTGCTGCACTGTTGTTGATGCGAAGTGTGCTGAAGGATCCAGTCACAGTCACTGATGCCTCCTCTGTCAACCGTGCAAACCAAAATTTTGCACGAGCCTCCGCAAAGGTAGCGTACGCATCCTGGGGCTGCAGGACCACAAGACCAGCACACTCTTTGTTGCAGCATCCGGACGGAATTCAGTCGTCAAGCCAATTCTAGGGATACGCCCAATACGCCCAATAACTTCAACAAGTGACCTTTGATACCACTGAATAAAGCTTATGTTGGTCACCCTCAAACCAGCGACCCATTGGGTCCGAACAAGCTGCCCCGCGCAGGCCGAAGATGCTGAAGGAGCAGGATGGATGAGGGAAGAAAAACCGTAGGCCGTTGCCACAGCAACCAAATGCACATGGACATGAACAAAATGTCCGAGCTTCTTTCGGGGAATAATCATCTGGCACTTGGGATAGGAGGAAGGAAGAGCATAGTATCCACAAGCCAATCCAGAGGACCGCGACCACGGCCTGCTGACAATGGCAGGCACTGGAAGCGCGGCAGGCAGCTGCAACAGCTACAAACTGAGTGTTAACTGTGCGCTGCATTTCGCTACAGGTAGTAGCTCATGGTTTCTGCCTGGAGCACTGGGACGAGCATCACTTGCGGTGTCTGAGCCTGAGATGTGTCCAGAGTGCTAGGCTTCCATCCAACCTGGGAGTCATCATTGCCGAGGCCCCGACAACAAATGTAGCAGCAACTTTGTTCACTGCAATTGCAAGCCGAATACGGCTGCAAAAGCACATGACCAGAAACCTTGGATGCGGCGCACAATTCGTGATTTCGAATGGACTGTCAAAACCACGGCTGGCAGTGCACAGGTACAAGCCACCCAGGACCCACAAAGCATAAGCTGTATACCTCAGTTGCCAGACTGTTCGATTGGAACACGAAAAATTCCACTTTAGCTTGCTGCCTGCTGCCAATTGATTGAGATCCCTATTTCGCGCATCTTGCGCTGTCCCGGCCTACAGTAGCTTCCATGTGACCGGACTGTGTTCCGCAAGTACTTTCTGCCTTGCATGCAAAGATGCTCCAACAGAGTTCGGATCCCTGCGTCAGGAACTGCATAGCCTTGGCACATTTGAGATGCCTGAAGCTATACGAAAATGCTACAGCTGCTGCAAGCAAAGCCATGTCTGAGATGCAACAGCGATTGCAAACCCCAAGCATATAAATGCTGAAAGCAGTGCAGCCCAGATTCCGTTTTTGCACACAGGGCGAATCACGCCAATCGGGCGACACTCTTGCCATGTAACTTTTTCGTCCGAAGTGAAGCACCAAATTGTGCTTGCCTAGCGGCAAACTACTTGTCTTCAATGACTGGGATAGGCTGGGCTTCAGCGCAACACATCTTCCACAAAGGTTCGTGTACAGGCTGCCCAGAGGCAGTCCTTAACAGCACCCACAAGGCTGCATCTGTGACCATATGGCATTCACCACATCTGCAAACGCAAGAAATAGCAGTTGGCCCTATTGGAGCCCTTGGTTAGGCGTTGACTGTGAAACTGTGATTCCCCAGGCAGTGACATCCAAAAAAGGAACACGTCCTGCCTTCGTCTCTTCGTTTGCCGTGCTGGCATTGTATGGATTTCTGCCTGGAAAAACAAGTTCCACCATGGCCATTATCATTACAGTAGCAAGCTGATGCTGGAGCCAGGCTAAGTCAGCTACAGAAGTTCTCTGTCAAGTTGGAATCCGGAAACTTCGCCTTGCAGTCTTTTGAGGTCCCACATCGCTGCATGGCCGTTAAGTTGACGGAATCCGAACGCAGCCATCCACAAAGCATAACTCCACGTTCACTGCGCATCAAGATCCCTTCCCGTGGCGAATCAATTGGATGTAAATTTATTAGTATCGTCCTACAGTCCAAAGTTCAGCTGCTGCTTTTTCAGTTTGAACCAGGGAAGAAATCGCTGAGCGCTTCGCCTGCGAATAGTTCTCGGCGAGAGTGTTCGCAAGGCCCCACCTTATCGGCACACTCACCCACACAGACTGTTGCAAGCATATTACGAGGCGAAGACTCCAAGTGTATCGCTCGTCATCACGCTGCACAAGTTGAAGGTTGAGTTCCAAACAAATGCCCTTCGCTTCCCTTCGCTTAGGCCTAGACCCTGCAAACCAGTCTTCTGATGCTGCCCCAGCTATCTGCTCTGTGCTGGAAGTAAGCATGGAACGAACTCAGGATGCGGCTGGATGCAGCTATAGCCTTCCACACTTCGTCTTTGCATGCCTCAGCTCCGTTTTGTCACAGGCTGTGTTTATCAGTCTTTACAAGTCACTGCCGCAGAATGCCTGTGTAGTTGGCTCCATCGCCAATGATAGTTTCACTCGGAACCTGTGCTGCGGCATTAGAACGGCTAGCTTATACGCAAAGCCCTTAGGGGCCTCCCAAGACTCTCCATCGAGAGTCTGCTGCACAAGCGTAGTGGAGTAATGCTGTATGGACCTGCACAGACAAATTGCACCATTGCCATGTCCTGAGAATGGTGCTGTAAGCTGGCCAGCCAGCCGTACCCAAAGCAAGCAAGGAGCGTGGCTGCGGCCATTGCCATCTCGTATGATGTGTCTAGCAGGTCAGTCCCCTGGCACTGACCTCTGCGCTCCATGCTAAGGTTGCTAGGAATGCGAGATTGTCAACTCAGATCAGGTCGAGCTCGAAAGCCCACTAAGGCAAACAGGGGCTACTTGCGAGGAATAAAAGCATTGAGGTACACATGATGCTGCCTTGAGATGCAGCTCACAGCTCAGTGACTATTCTCAGGGCCAGGCTTGAGCTTGCGTAGACCACACCGCCGCCCAGCGTGAAGATCAGAAACCTGGGCATTCCAGTTCGAGGAGAGTTTGACAGGCCCCAAGCATGTTCGGCACGCACGTCGCACTGCTGGCAGGGGAACGGTTCCGGGGTCCAAGGCTTTCTAGAACCACCTCCAACCTGGAGACGCGAGAAATGCAGCCCGAGGAGCATTGCAAACAGCGCAGTCCAAACACCTCAGGCTGCTCATGACGTTACAAGGCTTCTCTTCTCGCGCCTTCTGAGAGGATGCCAGCTCGTGGCATCTACTGCTTGTTGCAATGGGTCGGAGGACGGCACGTTGCAAACGTGATCTTTCAAACCGGAAAGCCCCTTCCAGGCGGAAGCTAGGATGCAAGTACCAGCACTCTGCACCAAACGGCGCTGGCCTATGAGCAAGCTGAGCTCTCAGCGACTGCTGATGATGAGGGTTGAGCTGTAACAGAAAGCACCCACTGTACTGAGATGAGGTGAGACCTAAACTTATGCTACGCCAGCGTGATGATACAAATGCAAACGGCGCCGCATATTGTCGCCAACCAGTTTACCTTCAGCAAATACCAACCCTATCAGAGGCAGCAGCTGCCTGCGCTAGTCAAACACGCAAAAGGCGCCGTGCATCTGTAGTCTGGTTGTTTGTTACAGTGCACTGGCCTTTGCAGAGGTCGGTGATGTAAGAAATTCACCCTCACTAACACACCTTGCTAGCACAGCTCCATCTGCATTCTTCGCTGTGGTGGAGACAAATCACACTTGCTGAAATGATGACCCTCAAACTGACTTTTCAGACGAATGCCTTCCCAAATGCGGGTATCATTCGCGAGCGCAGGGAAACCGATTGGATGCTGCACACTTGCCTTCTGATTGCGAACAAGATACACACACCGACCAAAAAGCGGAGGAGGAGTATGTAGACAAAGCCAATGATGAGGCACGATACCTCATGAAGTGTGACATCCTCATTGCCCGGTTTAACATTTGCGGGAGCTGCAGCAGAGTGGCTGCTACTGTAGCAAAGGTATCACCTGCTTCACAAGGTAGAGGGCGTTGGACATTACAAGAAAATGCTTGTAACTGCCACCATCAAGGTCGCCTGTTTGAAACGCGTCGCCAAAAAGACTTCCGAAGGTCTGGAAGGAAGCAAGCTCCTTTTGGAAAGCCTGGACAGTAAATCTCTTTCTTTCGTTCAGGCGACAGAAATCTTTCTTTCTTTCTTTCGTTCAGGCTATGGAGGCAGGATTGCTCCCACCTCCCGACTCTCTCCCCCGATGTGACAGCTCAGACATGCTCGAGTTGCAAGGCACCGCGCCTCAGAACCAAGGCTTCCAAAAGCATCTGACAAGGCAGAGCCAAGCTTTTCCTGCACGGCATCGGTCAGGCCCAGACCTTGGATCTTGTACATGTTTCTGTTGACATTGCATCTCTTGGCTATGCTGAGGATGGTACTGCAATGCCCTGGCCTCAGACATACGAGGCAATCCTTTTCAGCTGGGACTGAGACATTGCCACCAGGCCACATGCCAGCAGTAAACTGTACTCCGGGCATTGGTATGCATTTCCTGAGCAGATGGAAGTCTCAACGAAAATGAAGTTCTGGTTCTCTTCATGCTGCCATGGCACGAGGCGGGGTAAGCACAAAGAGATGTTGGCAGCGCTGCGAAGGTGAAAGAGGAGTGTATTGTGGCCTACCACCAGGCTGAGCATTAAGATTGCAAGTTGGGTCCGCCACGTTTGCGCCTGAATCTCAGCAGGCCCAGAAGTGTTTAGCCTTGGACGTGCAAAGTCAACTGGCGCTTTAGCGGGGTGGAATATCACCTCATGTATGCAAGCCGGGCAGCAAGGCCCAATACGGAGCGAGAGGGTTGTCAGGTGCCTGGGCACACTCGATCAGCAAGGCTTAGCAAGTACAACAACCCGGCAGCCAAAAAACATGGCCAAGGAGATTAAGATCCTTACCATCTCGTATGTCCACGTTCGACTCTCGCTTGTGCCGTTCATTGAAGCAAAGTTCCTTAGATCGAAGATTTAGCAGCTAAGTCTAACACATTTACAGAAGCCGCTGTTTGCGCTGCTGTTTGCAGAACGCAGCTCCAGTCCCGTGCATTGCTTTCCAACGTGACAGGCTGCTCTGATTACTGAAAACTGCAGCGATTCCTTGCATGCTTAAACGAGCAGGTATGAACACTAACAGAACAGCACATGCTGCATGGAAGTACACTGAGGTCCAGTAACTTGTTGCCCTCCTCTCCCGCTTGCACTGGTTCAGTTCAAGACACGTATCACAGCTCGGCAGGCACACCAAGTTGAAGTACCTGGCGGCTCGGAACAGGCAGCACACCACTCTCCCGAGAGCAAGCTTGTCGCCTCGTTGATTCGCTCCAGATTTCAGTGAAGAAGTCACCTCAAGCAGAGGATGCCTTGCTCCCCTGGCTCACACCTGCGAGCCCCCCAACCTGGAAACATTGGTACATTTTCGACATGATCGGCCACAGAAGTGCCGAGAAGCTGTTGAAGCCACTAGGATTGAAGAGGTCTCCGCCCAAACCAGTGATCTCAGACATCTTGCCAGAGATGGTGCCCTGTTCAGCTTGTGCTTCCCCACTGCGCGCAACCAATCTAGAGTTGCAAGTGCCTCTAGTGCCACTCTAAGCTGCTGGAAGCTATTTGCAAGCAACTCGCCTGAACGCTTCCACTCTCCAGCTTTGTTGTCTTGTAGCTGCCAGTGCATTTGGCACACGGTGCGAGGCAGCAGTCGCACAGGTATGCCTGAGAATGCGGAATTTCCAAAAATGAGAGAGAACACATCCCTAGCATAACAACAGATCTATGGCAGCACGGGGTCCAGGCACCTGCTGGTCTGCTGTGCTGGTTAGCAGCGGACGAGAGCCACCAACCAGAGCATCGCGGGCGGCATACGAACAAATCCTTGGATTGGCATTTGCTCAGCTGTGTTTGGACCTTCAGGGTCTGTAATGCGTCAGCTCACTGCGTGAGGCATGGTGATGCGCGGCCAGGGCACAATTCCTTGACTACAATATCTGTCGTGGACCTCGAAGCAGGGCGGGCAAGGTCTTGCGTCCTGCTCCCACAGTTCCTTCTCCCCACAATGCTTTCAAGGTTGCGTAACATTCATTGTGTAGCTGAGGACTGGGAAGCCTTGCCTGCCGACGCAGCGGAAGCTTGTGGCATCAAGCACTCACAAGTTCGCTTAGCATCCCAAAGCCGCTTGTTGCAGCAACGTGTCAGATTGTAGCCGGTGACCCAATTGGAATCGACGTCGCAGTAGCTTCCGCTGTAGTCACGGGGAAGGTACAATTTCCGTGGGTCACCATCCTGACTCCAACCGGGATGCTGGCACTTCGTTTTACGTTTCGCGGCAAGATTTTGTGCTAACACTGCAAGCATGTCCTGCAAACCCAGAAATGTCACGAAAACAAAAGCTGCAAAGGCCGCAAGGTAGACCAGAATGCACCAGGCATCAGTGCACCTATTGTCAGTCAGAACGTGATCTTGTGATGCGGACATGAGCTACAGTCAAGGTTTCCTGTATACTTTAATGGAAATGGGTCCCCTGTTCGGGACTATTCGGGACTATACAGGATGACCCCTATGTCCACTGTCAAGGGTTCCGTGGCTCACAGGTCTCAGAGATGCAACTGGGGCACGACCGCTGCTTCACCTCAGGAGAACAAAAAGTGCTTTGCATTGGTGGCTCCAGGCTTGGGCCCGGCCAGTCTTTCCCTCTGCACCAGAAAGGCTGCAGACAAGAGCTTTGCCTCTGAATCCCTCAAGCCTGTGGAAAGGGCAGCCCGCATCCGCAACTAAGGCATCTGCCAAGAAGTTGCTGCCCTCAAGTTCGTCCTCATCGGCGGCAAGGTGTGCCTCGGTCTCATTCCAACTTGGACCTGTGCTCGGAGCTAGAATGCTCATTCAAGTCAAGTCACCGTTGAGCCATTGCCTGAAGCATGGTACAGGCAGTCACGTGAGCCACTAGCCACTAGCCAGTGGTGTGCAATGCACGCCTTCCTCATTGGACATGAAGGCGTATGAGGCTGAGACCTTTTGCATGCAGATTTGCTTATCTGTTGTGATAGGTATGCATATGTGCGGTCAGACTGCTCATCAGGATTGCTCTCTCAGTGCGACAGGACACAAGCACTCAATAAGGGCTCCCTGCAAAAAAAAAACTCAAGGCCCGGGCAATCCGCCTGATTCAGCAAGCAACAAATCAGAAGCTACATCGTCATGGATTACAGCCGAAACGCCTGCGAGATCACCTGCAATCAACTGCATCACAATCGTTCGACACAGCCACATCACAAATCTTCAGAGCTTTCACAAACCAAAGCCAGGCTGAAAGCCCAGGGATGTCCAGAACAGCAGACGAAGTTTTTCACCTCGTTTGGCGTCTCGTCTCAGACAGAAGACAGCAGAGCCAAATCTGAGCCAAGGGACAGCTCTTGTTTTGGCGCATCGCTCGGTGTGCCACGCCTCAAGGCTTCGAGCTCCCATCTGCTTGGCTCATTGATGGTTCAAGTCCATTGAGCTCGCTGCGCTGCCAACCGCACAGGTGCTGAACCCTTGTTCTTGCCTTTGCCTCGGGCTGGAAACTTTTGGTGTGCCCAGCAACACGCGAACATGCATATGAAAAATTGCCTGCACGTTTACCGCTAAGCTTCAGCCGGCCTTGCCAAAGCATCTCTTTAAAGTCTTTGCTCATGCTAGTCCCATTCAGCAATCCACTAGACCAGGAAAGTCTCATGAGCAACTGCAAACCCAACCACATAGCTTTCCCCTGGACATCACGTACCCCATCTGTTCAAGCTTGCATTGCCAGCACAATATCATTCTTTAGATGCACGGCTGTTGCAAGTTGCGCCCTGTTGGAAAGTTCCTGAGGTGCCGACTTCCCGCCTGCAACAAATATCATGGGAACTGAAAGCTTTGAAGCTTCTGCAGTGCAAGGAGCCTTGCCCTTGCCCTTGCTGGCGTAGCGGACGACAATGCCTCCTGATCACTTGTCTGTCAGAATTGTGGCCAGCATCAGCTCGCTGCTAGCTTCCAAAGCATGCTGTCGGCCTCCCATCATGATGCTGGTCGGCTCTGCTCGAGACTCTTCAGGAGTTAGCTCTTCCTGCTGACCAGTAGCAGGCAGATTCTGAAGACGCTTTGGCAGAAATCAATTCTTGCGCTCAGTAAACCGGCTGCCAGGTCCTTCAAGTATTCGCCGTCGCGCGACCTTGGATCAAGAGCAAAAAGAATCCTCACAACCACCGTGGTCCTCTCTCCTTCTACTGAGATGGCACAAGCAGTGAGGTCCGCACCGTGATCCCCCTTTTCGACCACCCTTCCCCGCTCGGGTGCGAACCTTAGTCCAGCGATTTGCAGCACGGAGGCGGGTTGATCAGATGCATACCAAGGGAATGCAGTTAACTGCTCCACAACATGTGTAGCTCTAGCGTTTCTCGCGTCAGCAAACGGCTTTGAGTGCCTGGATGGCAATTTTAGCCACCTGCGACAGACTGTTGGTTTGCTTGCAGAAGAGCAAGCATTTCTAATGATTGCTGCTGCTCTTCCCATCTGAGAGCTCTGATTGCTGGCTCAGGGTGACAGGTCCAACGCAATCCGCGTCCACACCTCAACTTCTGGAATTTGTGTGAAAGGCGAGAGGCAAGCAGGTTCGAAGTTCTGACAGACGGATCCGGATCCACGCCGCGTGCTAAGGAACTCAACAGCCAGCCGCGCCTCCCCATCAGCCCACATAAGTTGAGCTGGAAGCCCAGGCTGATAAGTACCATGGCAGTCTTCATCAAGCGAGAGTGTCACCTTAGACATAGTTTTATGGAAAAGCCAGTCGCGTGCAGCTCACGGCAGCCAATAATCAAATCAAGATACTTTGCATCTGGGAAAGATTTTGATCTGCTTGAGGGGTGCCGGCGTGAGTGTGGCACCCCAGTGGACGGACCAGTGCTGGATGCTCAGGATCCTCGATTTGGAGCTACTCCATTTGCCCTGCAACTCCTCTTGAACCCAGCATGAACCATCACCTCAGATGAGAAGACATGCGCGAAACATGTCACTTGCTCCGGACTCCCTTAATTACTGCGCATATTATGAGTCCCCATCAGTACAGAAAGCTCCAAATATCATAGCTCTTTGAGATTCTGCAAACTACAAAATGTGCAGATCCCACTTCTTACCCTGAAGCCGTAGCACTCCATCGAAGTTCTCGGGGGCACTTTGTGGACACGGTGGCGGATTGCTTTGAATCCAGGAGTAGAACCTGCAAAATGATTATGGCCATCTTGGTCTCACTTCACTTTGGCACAGTGCTTCCCCTAGCCGCCCTAGCCTTGCCGTCTCCTTGAACATCAAAAATGCTCGGACGTCTTCCGGAAGCCTTGCTCCAAAAGACTTTGGGCCCCTTGATGACAGCCTGACGAACACGTGAAGACGGCATTATTTGTCACCTGATCCAGCAGAGCAGTCAGCAAGAAGCAATCCGGAGCTTTACGTTGCCCACAGATTTGCTACTTGAATATCTGCCTCAGTCATAAACAAGTTTTATGGCAACCCGCTTTCGCTACTGAAGCTGGATGCACATTATGCCTGCACTGAGCAATAGAATACCATTGACAAACACAAACCCGACAAAGAACCCCCAACTCGTCATGTCAAACTGAACCCTGAAATGGGAAGGACGATTGCGATTCATCATTCTGGCAGCCATGTTGCAGATTCATACCGTGGCCCCAGGAACAACACAAAAGGAGCCGCCCAAACTCCGACAGACGATCTGGCACTCGGGACTACTACAAATATTTGGCCCCACTGGTTGTGCTGCGAGATGCTGCCAGGCCGCCACGGGAGCTTGGTCAATGCCGTTCAACCACATGCCTTGCAGAGCTGGCTCAACACTTTGCTGCGAAGATCTGTCCTCGCCCAGCAGTCAAAAAGACTCCGACACATCATGACATTAGCGCCGTCATCTTCTGGCCTGCTCATCCGCCGCTTCAGCGTGCGCATCTCCAACAGTTTCTCGGGGTGATGGACCTGATGAAGGCCTTCTGTCGCCTCTCGCTCTCGGGCTTGCTCTTAGTCCATTTGCACGTCTACTTCTTTCCACTTGCACTAAGGGGATTTTGCCCTCTTCTGCGCCGGTGCATATGCCTGCAGTCCACAGCGTCAGAGTTGCCAGCCACACCGCCAAGAGATGACTTTTGCATTCTGTTCTCCAAGGACGAAACAAAATATACCATTGTTGTTGAATGATGTGGCGGGCTGTCCTCCTCTAATTCAGAGCCGCCAGTTGTCACTCCTAGTTAGCTTGTGTTGTTGGCTGTGAGCCCGAAACAGTTTTTTCTACACAGATGAAGGTTGATCCAAACCTGATTCCTTGGGCTCCTCATGGTCTGGGTTCCCCCTCCTGTGAAACAGGATAATTTCAGCGTTCGCAGAGCTCACACTTTGTCATTAGTATTTTCCCCACGCCACATAGAAAGACAGAGGCCTCCGCTCAGGGTTCTCACGGAGTGCATTGCTCTGAAAATACCATCGTGCTCCCTCTGATGGTGCCCCGCAGTCTTCCCCATTCTTCCGACTCCATGGACCCATGGATTCTGCGGTTCAGCTAGGAGCCCTTGCCATTGCAAAGCTATGACACCTACCTCAACTTGGTGTGCTGTGTATGTTGCTCCCCTGCCATTGAGAGACTACTCTCCTGGAGTGGCCAACACCCTATAGTTTTGCTCATGCTCTTGCTGAGGCAAAGTGTTTAGATACTGTCCATTCCCTCCTAAGGGTTTGGCTCGAACTTGCCTGGGACTTGGCTTGGCAGAACAGTCAGGATTGGTTCTAGACTCCCACACTCAGCCATTCACGCGCACCACGCAAACCGACTGACGGGCTACTAATGGCAGACCTCAATCACATCTGTTGAATTTCTAGTTCTGGCTCTGACTTGATGCCAAACTCCTGCGCGCCCTGGACCGCTTCCCTTACTTTCTCCATCTTTCTCCTGACGCTGCATCATGTCTGACGTTGTCCTAGTTATTCGAGAGTTCCGGGATCATTCTTATGAACTTTGAGACTACGTGCGAAGAACATAACGGCTCATTTGGCAACATAGAATACATCTGTGGTCGACTGTGCACGCCCAATATCTCGCTCAGCCCATCTCGGGATGGTTACGGCGGTAAGGGCAGGCACTGGGTCCGTCTTCGGAGTTCTTCTGGCGGGCGATCAGTTTTGTCGGCTATCCTGCCGTAGTGACAAGACGCGATTCCTGTTTAGTCTCTCTCCCAAGTTCAGCTTTTCCCACTTGGAAGTTGGCTAAGTGGAGTGCAGGGGAAAGAAAGCGATAATTTCTTTGAGCCTCATAGCTTCGCGCCTTTTGGATTCATCATGAGAGTATCTGCTCCTCGGGCCTTGTTCTGGGTCTCTAGCAGATTCCCTCACAAATGGAACACGATGGAACGAACAACAACGAGCAACATAGGGCCGACACACATGTTCCTCACGTGACACGCCACGCTTAGAAGGACCGAAGGATAATATAACAGGAACAGTATAGTAGTAACAGTCGTTGCAATATAGTAACAGTCCCAGAAAATGACGCAGCGATATACATGTAAATATAGAATTAGGGCCACTGCCACCGGGAATAGCCACCCCTAGGCACCCCTTGAAACAATACTCACCGGCCCAGAAACCCTGTCACTATCATGGGCAGATCTGCCTTGAAGACCGAAAAAAGTTTAGGTTTGTTTTTGTTTTAAACCCCTGGGACTTTTGACGTCTGCGCTGGTTTAGGGTTTCAGGTTTGTTTGCATTCCATGACAGGGGCAAGCCTTTTCCCACTAGAAATGAAACATCTTTAATTCTAATTAGTCTTTTGGGTTCCTTAACTATAAATTGTAACCAAAGATTGAAACAGCCGCATGAAACAAACAATTGCAACCCGCGAAATGAAGGACATACCACATCAATTTTACATTTCCTCTGGACCTTTTGTATGATTACCTATCATTTGAAAATATGCAACTGGTGAACCTTATGGACACAATGAAACCTGGGAAATACAGCACGTGTCAGATTGCAATTAGGTTTTCTGCGAATTCTGGTACGTCTCTCTCATGCATAAAAACCATAGCAACGAAAATAAACCAGGAACTAAACCATTTGATGTTGATTTGATTGCCTTTGGATTCCAAGGATTCTGGAATATACTTTCCTTTGTTGCAAGACCTTATACTTAAGGGGGCTATAAGTACTATATAACCCCATATAACCTCAATATACTATAGTAGATTGGTGTTATGTAGGGATAATGGGGCTACTATATTAGTTCCTGCCTTTACATTTTGGTTGAAGTACATTCCTCTATGCAACATGAATGTGGGAAAGGCTGTCTGGAAATGAGGCGAACGCATTGCTAACAGCACCAGCTGTAGCAGATGTGGTGGCAATAATAACTACTGCAAAAATAGGAAAAAAAGCCTTGCTCTCTGCACTCTGCAACTGCATACACTCCCGCCAAGCTGAAAAAGAGTTGCTAAGAAAAGCGAGTTGCACGACATCTCCGTGCGTCTTCTCTCAGAATTGACTTCCTGCGCCGAGTCTTCTTCTGCTGGCTCGGGAACAATCCTCCACTTGGCCAGTGGCCGGAGCGAAGCAGAGCATAGTGCACCCGTAAACTAGTGCCGCTAGAAGGCTCTGGCGGAACAAGCTCGTCTGGAAACACAGGGAACTTTCCTTGAAAACGGCACAGGGCACTCCACTCGGAATCACGAAGCATCGCGAAGCTAAAGCACGAACTTCACAATACAGATTGCAAGGAAGCCACGCCAACAGCTGCCAGTTGTGTAGGTCTGAGTTCTCGGAGCATCAAGCTCTTGATGTTCTGGCTCCAGTGAAGCAGATGTGTCCGGAGTCGCGCGGCCTCTGCTCCACAGGACCAGCCCAGAGACTTTCGCGTAAATTTTCACACTACTGCAGGCCTTCACTCGTCTCGGAGTCGCACACTTCCCACGGCTCGCCTGGTGGAATGAAGAACTCCTCCTTTCGGCACATACCGCCCAGAATTCTGAAAACATCTCACATGCTGCACAGTTTAGGAACCGCTGACATGGCTGAATGCCTCCTTCGGCCCTTCGTTCGCTGTGTTGGCCCCAAGTTCGTACAGCTTCGACCCACCTTGGCACAAGAAGAGTTACGCCAGACTCCGCGACCTTCTCGAAAACTGGCCAGGATCTTCCTGTTCTTCTATCAGCTCGATTTGGACTCACCGTGTTCTAGATTCGAGACAGTGTTTCGAGCGCGTTCGAATCACCTTGATCTGAACTGGAGATGAAGGCGGGAGACGGCGAGGGCTTGGGGGTATCCGCACTCCCATCATCAAAGAAGCAATGGCTGCCAGGTAGAATTGGCATGCGGATGCCCAACTGGAAAGGTCCTAAAGATTCAGGTTCTCAAGCTTTCGCGCATTTTTGTTGCTGCCTTCGAGGCTTTCAACACCAATTATCAAGGCTTCAAGACCCCATGTCATGAGCCCTCACAAAGTCAAGTTTCTTCCAAATGTCCAACAGTCAGGCTCAAGCGGCCTGTTTGCCGCATTGCCCGTTCACAATACTAGGCCACCAGATTGCCAGAGCAGAAATGTGTGTCTACATCAGCAGGCTCTTCGCCAAGCATTATCAAGAAAAGCTGCCGGTCAGAGAGCGCAGGAGTGGAAGCGCTAGGCAAAAAAAAAGGAGCAAGGTTTGAAGTCAACAAGTGCTGGTATTGAACATGCGAGAGCTCGGCGGCTTGGCATTTTGGCAGCCGGAGTTCGATGTGGGCAGGTCAGCTGTTGCAGACTAGGTGCAAGTACAGGGGTTCCATTGAGATCGGTTCGGGAATTTGGTCGGTGCTTTGCTTCAATTTGCAAAGACTTGCGCCCGCGGGGGGGGACGAAAGCTTTCAAGCAGGGTGCATACTAGCATGTGCATTTTTTCATGAAGCGGCCTCGTGACCCCTGTTTTCGAGGCCCGAAAGGAGGCCTCCCCAAAACCCTCCAGCGGTGGGGTCTGGCCCCGCAAAACACGGTCAAATTTGACCATTTTTGGGCTTTCCTAACCCCCACACCCCCTTAGTACAGATCAGCAAAGCTGGACCTGGACGAAGCTGGAGGACGCTTTCGTAATTATTGTCTTGCAGGAATCTTCAAATGTTCTCAGGCATGCACCCTTGTATAGTGGAGACTGCGCCCTCCACGATGCGGCTGCCAACACTGCTCCGGCAAGCTCCTTTGGTAGCTCATCGCCGCACCCAGCGCCGGCATCCTATGTGAGCTTAGTAGTGACATCCCGTGCTACACTGATCATGCGGGAGCCATCGGGAGCCTATCCTTATCCTGCACTTCCACCTCGTCCCCGACAGGCTTGTTTCCACCTCCATACTTGCGAGATCACGCGAGGTTGTTGTTAAGATTCTGTTTGCTTCCGGGAACCCTGCAGACTAAAGCTACTCGTGAGAAGGCACCTCACCCTACATGAATTTGCGGTCTGCAGCGGGCCCTGATTTTGACAACCACACGTGATTCTTGAAGCCTAAGATTTTTGGAAAGCAGGCTGCCTGGTTGCAAGTTGCTTGCATCAATCGGCTTCGATCTGCGCTCGCAGAGCTCAGCTTGGCATCCATGAGAGGAGCAGTGACCCATGGCAGGTCATGCCAACGTCCACCAGCTTAGGAGCTACTTTTCTTTTCAATGACCTGGTGGGCTGCGTTCGAAGACATGAGCTTCCCTGGCAAGCTGATGGGTGTTGAAACATGTTGAAACTTGATCTGCTTGTACATTGTGCATGTATGCGCATGTTGTGGAAGTCGCCTGTGACTCTGTCGTGGCCCCGGGCATGCATTGGCATTTGAACATGGACCAGTCAGCACAGCTGCCAGCATGACCGCTGCGTTTCTCGGCTTGAGACCGTGATGGGGATCACCGAACTTGTGGTGTCGCCTGGCGTGCTCGTCATGCTCGTCTGCACCAAGCAACCCGGGTAGCTAATTTCAAGGCCTGCTCCTGTCTCCTCGTATTGCATCACAAACCTGCTCAAATACGTGAGGTCAACCTATCTGTAAGAATCCTTTCCAACTCCGCGCCTCTTGAGATCTTCCTTTTCTCGTGAGGCTTCTTCAACTGTGTCTTGGCGGCCCTGTGGCACGCAGCTTGCTTGACCCACTAGCGAGACCTGCTAATGACACGGCTGTGACCAAGCTGCTGGCTCTCAGCAGTTTGGAGTCATCTGGAATGTTGAGCTGCTTTGTCAAGATTTTGCCGCCCATCTTCCTGAACATGCTTCTGCAATGGGTTTGATACCTCAAGACTGCAAGCTGCATGCATTGCAGCACCTTCAGGCTTCACCTCAGACCTCAACTGCCTTTTGGCAGCCCTGGGCTACTGGCTTTTGCAACAGGTTGAACTTGCCCATCGCCATCTCCTCTCTGCTGCACAAAGGAAAATGGTCACATGCCAGCCGCTGTCTGAGGGCGGTGCACCCTGCTGCTCGGTCTTTTTGGCAATGACGGTTGGGGGTGGCAGCTCTGACCTGGAAAGCACTTGACAGCTAAAGATGTAGGCTGCGCTAGCAAATATGAACAGCGCATCTACAGAGCGTCCAAGTGCCAAGCAGTACTCGAGGAGCGTTCTTCTCTTTCTCCAAGGATTCGATGAGAATTTGCTGCACCTGAACATGCATGAGCTCCGGTAGACTTTGGGTGCTCTAGCGGCTTCTCCACGCTGTCGCCTCTTTGTCGAAGTCATCTTCGGCCGCATGCCTTTTCTGCAAAGCTGTATAACCACATTATTGGTACTTGCAGTCATCCAGGCTGGGCACTTCTGCTCGTCGTCTCCACGAGCGTACCTAAAGCAGACACGTTCAGCTCAGCATCGCCGTGAACAGTGAAAAGTCTTCATGCATCGTTTTTCACTAGCTCGGGCCACAGCTCGGCTTCGTCATCGTCGGATTCACTTTCTTCGTCCTCCTCCTCCGATTCCTTCCACATGCAAAATGCCAAAGAAATTTGCCATGCACCGCAATGCCTTTCCACGAAGCAATATGCTGGCTTTCAGACTGGGCCTCTTCGGATGACTCTTCACCATCCTCCTGGCAGTGCACAGAAGTTCATACGACTAACCTTTCACTCTTCACTATTCATCCTCCCAGGCTTTCCGAGGAATCTGAGTCCAAAACAGAACGGCTCTCTTCCTCGTCCGAGCTCTCCTCTTCATCATCCTTTCGGAAAACCGAACTCAGTCTTCTCATGCATACCATGGGAGAACTCCGTGATAGGCGCTCCTCGTCATCATCCTGCTCACCTGCATTGCCGCCTTCGCTGTAAATCAAGACAAGATCGTTTGCAAGAATATGCGCTTGCCGCTTTAGCTCCAACTGCCGGCACAGGGTGGCAACTAAATGTCCGCCTCCGACATCAACAACATCCTTCTCCTTGTCGAGCTGGCGCAGGACAGCCTGCTGACAAAACAAAATGCAAACAGCGGCGTGTGCGCGTCAGGAGGAGTGGGAACCAACGTTTGCTGTCTACCCGGGGAGTGGTAAAAGACAAGCAGGACAAAGCTGGCAATCAGGTGAGCAGGATGGCCAGGGTGAGCCAAGTATAGCAGCCAAACAAATGATTGTTTGCTACAGCATAAAAAGGAAGCAAATGATTGCCCCCTTGTGCTCGCGATAAAGCCATGCTACAGCTTGTTGCCAGGCGACCGCAGCTGCCTCATTTGCCTCTGCTTTCAGCTCTGGGAACACCAATCTGGGCCTTGGTCTTGTGACATGCAACGACGAGCGATCAACAAAAACTCGTGGCCTCAGCTTCTCCAGCGTATCGTAGACCATGTTCATGAAGCGTTGGGGCAGCTCGCCCTTTTGGCATGCAACAGCACTCACAAACTTCAACATGCATTCGCCTGCAGACTCGCCAGCATATTTAGCTGCAGCTGCCTTGCTGTGAACGTACCGTATGAAGAATGTCAAGAAGCGGTCCAGCTTCTGCTTCGACTGGGTGAAATGATAGCTGAGACGCATCCCAACATCAAACTTGCTCCGGCCGTATACTGAAATCTTCCGGGGCTTGCACAGCTCCGCGATCAAAGTAGTGTCCACAAGTTTCTAGCAAAACGCAGACCTGAGGATGGCAACCCTAAGGATTGCAGATTACAGTAGGTAAGACAGCTGTGGAAACTGAGCCGCGTGCCAGCTTGATCCGGAAGAAATCCCAAGGCGCCTTCGGTGAGGTGGGCAGGGGCGAAGGAACAAGGCCAGTTTACCAGCATTGCAACTCATCGCCTCTAACGGATGCTGAGGGTCAGCCAACAGCTCCGGAAGCCTTATAGGCGTGATATGGACGCCCCCGGCTCCCGATACATCCCGATATCCGAACCTTGCAAGGCCGAGGTCAGGGCTGCATTCCATCTTCATTGTCCTCTCAAGGATCCAATACCTACAGCCTACGTGCGGCTACTGCCTAGCGACCTAGCCTTCTGCTCTTTATACACGCACACACACTCTTGGCCAGGATGGCATGACGACTTTCTGATGTCCACGCAAGGGCGACGAAGCCCTAGAATCGCAGAGCTGCGCCTCTACTATACAGTAGCATGCGAAGGTAGCCTAGTTTTTGTTTACAGCCCGGGACATGACATAATGTGCCATTCAGTTGTTCTTGAAAGTTAATGTCAGTGTCGCTTGCGTGCGCTTTAAAGTTGACTATGCGAGCAGGCCTTCAGGTGAAACGATGGCTTGGAGTGGACACTTGGCAGGGCTTACCGGTTTGAAGGAGTTGCATGCTGCTCTAGGGATCTCCGTTTCGAGCTGGAGTTGTATTTAACAAGCCCCTGCAACAGACCAAACCTGGCGGAGAGTGAAAAGCGTGTTCGTTTACGAAGCGTTTGAGCTACCAAGCTCCTCCGCTTCCTCATTGATGCTTCCAAGGCCGCCTTTTCTCATCGCCAAGCCCTTGGCTGGCTACACGCCAAATCTCTTCCCGCTCCACTCACAAGTTCAGAGGCAGAGGCCCTCTCCACCAGCCTGTGCGCCTGAGCATCAGCAATGCGACACCTCCTGGCAGTACCAAAAAACTCGACCATCACAAGTTCGTCGCCGTAATGAACTGCCCGGCTCGATGAGCTGTCGGACCACCGAAACCAATGAACCTGAGCATGCCCAAGGAAATTTCACACCCTGCCCTACAGTCCTGTACTAAGAGCCCCACTGGTACAAGCAATCGAACACCAAAACAGAATCCACCAATCTGTAGTTGTAGAGCTCGCCGACCAGCTTTATCTGTCGAACCTCGAGCTATACTCCTACCGTTCCAAGCTAAAGAGCATGCGCCATCGATCTGGTTGTCACACGGGAGTCTCAGAGTCTAAGAACCCTACTCGCAAGGGCATCTCTCGAAAATCATTTCTTTCCAGAGTCACCTCCAACAACAGAAACCGTCCTCTGCTAAACTATGCACACCAGGCTTTCGGGCCAGCGCCTGGATGTTTTCTAGGAGAGAATCGACCACGTCTATCACAAAGGCATCGCGATACTTGGCGAGACCACTCAGCAAGGATGCCACCTGGTGTAAACCGGCTGCAACAGGAAAAACATGACAGCCACCTTTACCACGGGGCACGTGCATTGTCAAGGAAGGGCGACACATCACGCAGACAACACACAAATTGTAGGCATGCGGCACAAGACAGGTTCTCGTAGTTGGCATGGTGATTTAAGTCCTTCAACGGAAGCAGTTTCAGGCGAGCTGCGCTTCTCAACACCCAGTTGATTTGCATGTGAAAACAAAGCCAAGGCTGTCCAGCAAGCACTTCTTCAACCATGCAACTGCCGGACCTCCACAGTTCTAGAATCTTGAACCTGTCTGAGTGCTACTTTTGACGTGAATCCAGCCGGCTCGGCCGTCCCATGGCAGCTTGCGAACAAGTTTGAGGAGCTGATCCTGTGCAAGATGTCTCAAGATCCGGCGGGGGAACTTAGAAGACTTGGAAAGACACACTAGCAGTACATGTCCTCGTCCTCCTCCTTATGCAGACCTTGTCTGCCGAAATCATCAAGATTAGCTAATTGCACGTCTTCCAGAGCTACAAATGATTGAACACTTGCCGCGTTCACCGCAATCAGCCAAGGATGAGACGGTCAAACACCAGATGCTCCACAAAAAGTTCCAGCGGATCCTGCACAAGCAAACGAAAGAATGCAAGGCCAGCAAGGCCTCTTACATGATCATGATCAGTTTTGGTCAGATGTATTTCCCTCGCGCGTGTCGGTGTCGGTCGGGTCCAGATTCAGATCCCGTTCCGTATCCATTCCGGGTCGGTCTAGGTCCGGGTTTGGGTTGCCTTATGAAGAAAGGCATGCTAGTCTTTTCTTCTCACTAAGTGACCACTACTAAAAATACCAGTGCTAATGTTCCTCATTACTGTAGTTATCACTCTCTCAATGAATGACACAACCTACAGGAATGCAATGATTTCCATCATAACTCTCTCTAACATGTTTGACACCCTTTCAAGCCCGTGGCCATCAGTCCTAGACTTGTAGTTTCTATGCGTTACTATACCACTATTCCTAACAGCAGCCTGCAGTATCATTTTGCTATACGAACTACAACCACAGGCTCCATGACAACAAGAAAAGCCGCCACTGCCATCGCCACCGCCACCGCGGCCGCCGCCACCACCAC